GGTCGATAACAAAGTGGATGCCGTGCCCGCCGCCTTCACCACATCCCCCGCGCCCGCGTCACCCTCCCCGAGCGTGTCTGAGGAGATACCCATCATACCCAGAAAGACATCCGAGAGCGCCCCGCCACCCACCCAACCCCGGTTCGAGGCCGTCGAGACGTACTTCCGGGACGGATCCAGTACTACAAGCGGTAAGCACTTCAGTCCCCACAGGCACCCTCCCCGCCGCTCCCCAGCTGACGCACGGTTCCCCCCCCCCCCCCCCCACAGTCGTCGTGCCCAGCGCCGACCTCCACGGAAGCTTCTGGTTCGATGACCTGTACCACGCCAGGCGGTGGGCGCGGGCACAGCCGCGGCGGAGGCTGCGTGAACCGTCAGGGTGTGCCACGCCGGTCGCGACGAGCGCTTATCCGTCAGCCCCGGGCATGCCCCGGCGGCGCCATGCGTCCACGTCGGCATTTCCAACAAGTAGTATCCGGGTCCGAATTCTTTTGCTTTCTTTGCTTTGTTCGGCTCGACTCGGCTGGGCAGGAGGTGATGTTCTATCCATGTCCCGGGCGGGTTAGTTACCCGAGTCGCGCCTGGTCCGGCGTCGGATGCTATATACCGTACTGTACCATATATACACGCACGTACTCACATTCGACTCGTTCTTCACGATCACGATTGCTTTTTTTTTGCTCCCCATAATTGTCCCCGAGCCTCCGTGCGGGGACGAGAGAGATCGCCGTCTCAGGCTGCTGCTACGGTGCTGCCAGTACTGTGCAGTGAGGTGTGCATAGTCTTCCTCCGACGCGCATGCCGACCTGTTCTCAGGCGCTGGGCCCTGCGCCACGAATGGACGCCTAGGCTGTTGCTGGCGACAGAAATCTTACAAAATCGGTCGTACCCTGAAGACCAGCGACACCAGTATGGTTCGAACGTATGTACGCTCCCAGCGGGAAACAGATCCCAAGCCACACAAGATCGCTGCGTGTTCTAATCTGTCGCCTTGAACACTTGGGAATAGTGTCACACGTAGCGTTCCCTTGCGCGCGTGCATCACTCCGGCTGTCTCTAGAGCCCTCACGGATGGCATAGACTCAGAGATTATGCAGACCATTGCAATGGAAGAATGGTAGGAATACACGCAGCGGATATATGTTAAAGAGCGAAGGTGCCGAGAGCGGGAGCAAAACGAGTGGTACAACGCACAGAACGCAAAAAGCGACCGGGCAGGTGTGCAGGACAGACAATCTAGGACGGGCGTGTGCGGGGATGGCGGTCCACACCGGCGTGCAAGATGGCGTGTGAGGGGGTACACAACATATATGCGGTTCACGCCCCTAAACCAGGGGCTCGCGCGGACCTATTCCAGTGACTTGCCCGGCCCGCCCCACACCCACACCCCTCCCTCATCTTCCACGCCCTCGCCGCGCAGGCCCCCGCTGCCGACCCTGTGCGCGCCGTCCCGCTCCTCGCGCTCCGCCGCCTGCGCGTGCGGCGGGTTCGCGCTCCCGCGCCGGCTCTCCCTGACGGCGTGCACCATGCGCGTGTACCGGTTCCCGGGCGAGTCGCTGTACAGCAGCGGCGGGAGCGCAACGTCTTCCACGGCGTCGGTCGAGTACGCGCTCGCGAAGCGCGCGCGCGAGCCCCGCCGCCCCGCGGAAGACGGCGACGGCAGGGACGACATGGACGAGTGCGGCGCGAACCTGGGCGGGGGTGTGCACGGGGCGTACTCGGGCGCCTTCGCGTCCCGGTCGCGCTCCGACGGGCCCAGTTCGGTCTGAAGCGTGATAGCGAGCGGGTGCGATGGGCGCGGCTCGACGAGCGCCGGAGACAGCGGGTCGACCGGCGTGGCGTACACCGCCGAGAACGGGTGTGGCGCGGTGGGCGTCGCGGGAGTGCCGGTGGTCGCGGACGAGGACGAGGAGGCGAAGGAGTGCAAGCGCTGGCCGAGCACGAGGGCGGGGAACGCGAGCCCGACCGCGGTCTCGACGACGCCGAACGGCGGGCTCGCTTCGGGGTGACTGAGCCGCGGGATGGGCAGCTTCGGGTTAGTACTCACATGCGCCCACTCTGCGGACGCGCGGGACGGGGACGAGGGCGCGATAGTGGCGTGCGTGCCGCGGCGCGAGAGCTCTGCCGGGTTAGGCGTTGGCGAGCGTTGTGTGAGCTGTATGGAAGATGTGGATGTGGGGAAGGCCGGGAAGGGGAGGGCTTTGCGATCGAGCGGGTTGCGGAATGCATGCGAGTGCGGGAGGAATGATGTAGGGTCCTGGTGATCTTGCACGGGGTGAAGAACAATGCGTGCGTTAAGCCTGGAAGACGTGAGCACCAGCCGTCGAAAGAAGGAGGAGGCGCCGCACATGGCCAAATATGAGTTGATGTACACTGTGATAGGGCCAGTTTAGATGTGTGGATAGTAACTGCGAAAGAGGTGAGACTAACGTTTGATCACCAGGAATTCTATCGCTATGGGTATGAATGTAGTCGGGAAGGCTACCATCTGAAACGAATGACATCAATCTCTGAATGCGGGCAGAATACCAACCATACACACGGTGATTACGGCAATAAGCGTGCAAAAGCTGTGCCAGAAAGCGGCATTGTTGGTCCACAGGTGGGTGAAAACGATGCAACAGGCACACCTTGTAATGATACCGGTGTTCAGGGTGTAGACAATGAGTGTCTTGATCGGCCCATTCATTCTATACAGCATGGATCAGCATGGATAAACCTTTCGAATGCTGCGCACTCACGCTGCGGATTGCATGCGGCATCGCGTCAGAAAGTAACACAGCGCCCCGGCAATCAAAGCATCTATGAATGTAGATGAACCCAGGGGGACGTATGTCGCCCACTGCAAGATATCCCGTTTAGTGGCAGTTCATGTGTGTACAGATGATCTGGAGGAAAACACGCACTGGAGCGTGTCCGAAGTCACCGAAGGTGGTCAGTGAGAATCTGTACCATAAGCGTCAGCGGGAATGATACGAGACCGAGGATGTAAATACAGCGTACGTCTCGTAGCACATCACTGCATAGGCATGGTCAGCGACTTGTTCTAGGAAAACAGCTTGCTGTATGCGCACCTATCGCGATGCCTATGTTGTCACAAGGCAGGATTACTAGATAGCATCGGGGAGACGACTGTTTTCGTACCATAACCTATAACCACACATCCACTCTACAACGGTTGAGTTTCGGTCCAATACAGTCGACTTCCCACGACTCACCACGACCCATGGTGCTATTCGGCACATTATCCAGCGAGTAGCGCTGGCACGCACTGTCATCTTCTGGCGACTCCATCGCCGAGCTTCCTTGCCGAACGGTGCGACGTGGTTGTCAATCGCAAGTACTGGCGATTGCGAGTTAGTTCACATCCTCTGGACGATTAGAGGGAGCTTACGGGTCCAAAGCCTGGAAGTGTATAATCTGCGAAGATGCGCATAGATGAGCAATTGTCAATCGGGGCACGAAGTACCCTGGCGCCCATCTCGCGCGTAGCCAGACGTATGCGCGGTTGCCTCAACCCTTGAACCTAGCACCGTTGCCAGCCAATGGTTATCAGAGTACTCACGTATGTACGGAACACACGACAAAGGCCTGCTCGGACAGTCAGGTTGAGGGTTGGTCAGATGCTGTGGCAACCTACATCGACTACTATTCGAAGCTGCATACAGGGTGAGCCTAAGAAGGGAGTCATGCGCATCGACGCGCACTCACCTTGAAACTCCAAACAATCTGTGAGAGAGCGTCGGGGTTGCCATAGTTATTTACAAGATAGTGATAGACAAAGTGCGCGCTCAACGCGAGATGAAGCGCGTCCAGGAACCTGGATTGGGGACATTGGTGGGGACGGATTTCTATCCCGGGCACAGAAGAGATACGAACCATAGCCAGCAGACGGCGAGCTTCCTCCACGCCTTGTCTGCGGGATACTGCTGAAAGTAAACGAACGTCTGGAGCATAGTCACGCCAAAAAGGCTGCAATACGCTCAGAACGCGAGTAGCTCGCCTCGGCAAAGTGGTCAGGCACTCACACGGCAGATAAGAGGACACCAACAAAGAGGGCGCCGTAGGTGGGGTTCAAGTTCAGCATGCCTCCCGAGAACACTCAAGGACGGTCCCAGGTGAGGCGAGGGCGCCGAGGCGGTAGCGGGGGAGGTGGGGGTAAGAGACGACGAGGGGGAGGGGGAGGGGGCGGGGGGAGGCGAGACATGGAGGGACGTGGCGGGGAAAGTGGCGGACGGGGGACGGGCTGAGGAGGATGGGGGACGAGAGGAATAGCATCCTCCTGTCCGAACCTGGCCCTAATTGCGGGGGAGGCGCCCTGGCCTGACAGCGCACGAGTTCCGCGTCTTCGCCTGCGTCGTGCCTCGCCCCAATCAAGCAGCGTCCGTGGATGTCCACCAGGCTTCCCCACGCGAGAATCGCCCTCGGAAACGCTCGGGAGCCCACCGACGCCGAGCAAGCATCGAGGCAGACAGCGTATCGCACTTGCTCTCCATTCTCTGCACACGCGAGCGCACGTGGGGACAGTCGCGGTGGGGAGGACCGTCGGTCGTCGTCGGAGGAACACCACGCTTCTGTGGCTGTGTCAAACAACCTTAAATTGACGTCGCGTCGGGCCACGTTCAGTCGTCCTCGAACCTTGCTCAACAACCGCCATCCCCCCTCCGTCGCACTATCTCGTGACGTTGCACTCTCTGCTCGGCCTGCAATGATCCTAGAAGAACTCACATTCTGTTCAAAGGAGAGGCATCTATATCCTCTCCGACTCCCGCGTCCGAGTCGCCAGTCCGAGGCCCCAAGCTGCCGCGTGCTGTTCCGGACTTCCACGGACCCCATCGATGTGGACTGCAGTCAGTGTCTCACAACTCCGCCCTCACCGGCTCATCTACTATTCCTATACTTCATAGGGATCAACGCCGGCCCTAGGTTTCAGCTCGTCTCAATCCAACGTGCACCAGCGGGCTACGGCAGATGTGTCTCACCGTAGATTCGTAGGAACAGACACTATAGCCAAGTGGTTAAGGCGACAGATTAGAATCCTTGTGCATACAGCAGTCCATAAAATCTGTTTCCCTCTGGGAGCGTAGGTTCGAACCCTACTGGTGTCGTCGGTTCGTTTTTTGCACGCACATGCGACGCATGAGGTATTTTGACAGGCTGTCTTCCGTGTCATGCACCACTCCCGAGGTTCGGTTCCCCACCAGATGAGTTTACCCAATTGAGCGGGCGCAGTAGCCGCACGCTCGCAGTGGCTATGTGGTCGCCAAAGCCGGTTGCGCCACAACGCTCTTGGCAAATTCACAGCGGCCGGGCAGGCGCCCGTCGTCTCTCTCCACGGCCACGACTACAACCACGGCGATGCCAGCAAGGTTGTAACTCACATTTACGGATATGGAAGACAAGGTCGATGCAAAGCAAGGCATTGGCCAAGCTGGCGCGGGCGAATCGCGCATTGCGACATGACTAGCCTGGGTACAGGTGCATTGTCCCACTATCAACAACAATATCTCTGCTCGTAGAAGACGGAAGCAATACGCACAGAAGCACATGGGCCGAGACCCCAATCCCCTTTGTACGGTCCTATGGGATGCAGCAGTGGCACCTCTGTGATTGCTCTTGGACGGTCATGGCGCGGTCCGCTTGGATGTCATCCGTAAGTACTTAGGTCTGTTTCGCGGGATAACCCATCACAGGCGCAGTAAGATTCTGCCAACACTAACGCTACCTGCTACCAGGCGTACTCAGCAGCGTCGATGGCGGCCTCCACATCCAACCTGTTTGCCACCCAGTACCAGAGAGTACGTTTCATGCTGGCTCCGGTCAGAAGTATTTGCTGACTGTATGGACAGATGGCTCCTCTGGGTATGAACTCAATGTCATATTGCTTTTAGCCCAGTACTAATTTATATTCAACCGCAGGCAAGGGACGATACGGCAACGTCTATCGGGTGAGCCACTTGTACTCCCGACGATCACTGATGCCGCCGAAGCTGACTACAACGCGCAGGCGCAAAAAAAGCATACGAGAGAGATAGTAGCGATCAAAGAAGTCAGTTTCATCGAGGACATGCATTTCAAAGACGTCGCCCTGCGCGAGGTCCGCACCCTCCGGCGGCTTTCGAACGTCAACATTATCCGCCTGCACGACAGCTTCGTCGACAGCTGGAGCGTCAGCATTGTCCTGGAGATGTGCGATATAGATCTGACTGGCTACGCCTACCGACGGCTGAGCACGGGGTCGCCCCTGCACCACGACCCAGATTGCGTGCGCTCGCTCGTGTCCCAGCTCCTCCAGGGCGTCGCGTACCTCCACGAGCAACAGGTCATCCATCGGGACCTCAAGCCCGAGAATCTGCTTTTACAGGGAAACGTCCTGAAAATATGCGATTTTGGGATCTCGCACGACGTGGCGAGAAACGGTCCGCCCACGGACACCAACGTGAGTGCTTCATTTCCGTCGCACCAGCGCTTACCCGCTCAGGCTCGAAATGACATATTAGGTCGTCACACTGTGGTACCGCGCGCCGGAGGTGCTCATAGCAGGCCTGACGTACAGCTACCCGCTCGACGTGTGGTCGTGCGGGTGCATCTTCGCACAGCTGCTGCGAGGCAGCCTGCTCTTCTCGGGCAAGGTCAACGAGGGCGACCATCTCCAGAGCATCCTCCGCATCCTCGGAACACACGGGAACATCGTCCCCGGACTGGCGAGTCCCTCTCTCCCCTCCCGCGTGTCCGCAAAACGCTGACCGCACATGCGCGCGCAGATCGTCGTGCACGAGCCGGACGGGACGTCCATGCGGGAGTACCCGCAGCACCCACGCATCCCCTTCCACGTCCTCCCGGGCTTCCGCGAGACGCACCGCACAGGTCCGCACCGCCCCCCCTCCCCCTCCTCTCCCCGCGCTGACCTATCCCCGTCTCCCCATTCCGGTGTGGGCGTACAGCGATCGACCTGCTGGACAAGCTCCTCCGGTTCCACCCCACGCAGCGCATCACCGCGCGCTCCGCGCTCGCGCACCCCTACTTCCACGCGCAGCTCTCCAGCCCCCCGCGGCTGACGCTCCGCCCGCCCGCCCTCGACCGGTCCCCGTCCTCGTCCTCGTCCGCGTCCGCGTCCGCGCTCGGTCCCGGGCACGCCGCCTCGCCCACCGCCCACTCGTTAACGCCGCGCCCGCCTGTGCAGACGCCCCGGCCGCCGCAGCTGGAGATGTTGGCCGGGGTCGCGGCGCAGCAGGGGCAGGTATATGGGCAGACGCAGGTGCAGATGCGAGCACAGGCGCAGGTGTTGGCGCAGGCGCAGGCGCAGGCGCAGGCGCAGGCGCAGGCGCAGGCGCAGGCGCAGGCGCAGGCTCAGGCGCAGGCTCAGGCGCACGCCCACGCTCAAGCTCAAGCCCACGCCTACGCTCACGCTCAGGCACAGGCGCAGGCGCGAGCACAGGCGCAGGCGCAGGCGCAGGGACAGTACGCGCGGTGGCTCCCTCCCGGCGTCCACGTGCAGATTGTGAGCGCGGCGAATCGGATGCCGGAAATGCATCCCGCTGCTCGTCCGGGGCGGTGACATCCGCGCTGACCCGGATATGGATGTGTTGAGTAGGCTTGGTGAGTTTGTCGAAAGATACCATGGTTTGTTTTCTCCGTGTCCATTCACCTATGCCGGATATGTCGCTCAAGTATGCTATATGATTATTGTATGTCTTTATGATATAGAGTTAGGATGAATGGTTTAACATGACTCAACAGCGTGCACGCGCCGCATGAGCGTTCCAAATGCGGGGAGTGCGCGAGCAAGCTCGCCGCTGGATTTTGGCGAAGCCGTCGATACGCGGTCACGTGCGTCAGCGCTCGTCGCGGGAAACCGGGACGCGACGCCGTTGGGAGTCGCGCGGCCGCGGCCTCGACTGTGGTGACTCGGAACGTTCTGCCGGCGTACTGAGTTGGCAAACGACACGTTGTGTGTTGCGGTACTCCTCGGATGTGCGACATCTGATCAAGAGGCCTCTCGAGCCGGGATACAGGGGGACAGGAACACGGAAATAGTGAGTGCCATTCGCCCCCTGATCCCGGTATAGTCCAATTTGAACACCAGACTCGCAATGTATAGAAGCTGTCTTTGTGCGCGTACTAGAGTGCTGCCGTACACGTCTGTCGACCGTGCAGGCCAGGACATGCCCGGTTACCTCCAGAAGACGGCGGTAGCATCCCACCGAGGGGGCTATTTCTGTCCTGATGATCCGCATGCCACCGATCCGCCTATGCCCCCTTTGCAGTCCACATCCCGCACACATGGCAGTGAAACGACTTGAAGCAGAGTGTCTCCGGAGCGCCAAGGCTAGTCGATGCAACCGAGTATGACCCGGCGTGCAGCCCGGACGTCATTTCGTGCTCGCAAGCTGAGTGATGCTTGAACTTGACCCCATGCATCGCCGTCGATCCACTGCTGTAGGCACGGCACCAGCCTGTCGAAACTCGCCTGACAAGATCGCGTCAGACAGTAGAACGTTACGTGACCGGGGGTGACCTCGGTGTAACGCCATCGGTGAGTAGTCAGTCATTCGGCGATCTCGCACGGCGTTTGCCTGTGGTACGCCGGCGATGCACGGTTTGCTCCTCATCATCTCCGAAGCCGCCTCAAGCGTTGCGTGTGATCGACCCGCGGTCTGCCTAGCGCGCAGGTCGCGCGCTGTCATCGTCAGATGCACGTCGGCGCTCAGGCGGGAAGTGCCCGCCACCGTCAGGCTCGGGTATTTCAAGATGGAGCCCGGCGCGTGACTGCCCACCCATCTCCCCGCTCCCACAGCCTCTCTCATTCGTCGCCATGGCCCGCGCAATAGACGAGCTCGCGATTGTTTCGCCGCAAGGCGTCCGCAGCGCCACCTGGACGCCCCCGCCGTTCTACGGCACGCTGACCATACCCGAGCTCTACGCGTTTCACGCAGAGAAGAGCCCCGAGCACCCCGTCGTGGTGTACGACGACGAGCAAGGCGTCGTACAGCTGATTCGCTACAAGGAAATATTTCGTGCCATCCGCAAGGCCGCGACCCTCGTCTCTGGCCATGTTCGCCCCTCTGCAACCACCGAAGGCGTTGCGAGCCAGCCGCCGGTGGTCGGCGTGCTCGCTATCGCAGGTGAGCGCACTTGTCCATCGCCCGCCGCTCACCGGAAGGACTCACGTGATGCTGCGCAGACTCCATCACGCTCATGGCCCTGCTCGTGGGAGTCATGTACCTGGGGTACACGCCCTTTCCCATCTCCGTGCGGAACTCAGCCGTCGCGGTCGCGCACCTCGTCCGCCGGACGTCGGCCCGGACGCTGTTCGTCAGCCGGGACGTCGCGATGCAGCGCGCTGCGCACGAAGCCCAGGAGCTGCTCGCGAATGAGGGCTACGACGTTGAGCTTTTGCCGCTGCCCGGCTTCCGCGATCTGTACAACGATAGCGAGGAAGGGCTGGAAGTTAAGATGGGGCCGAACCTTCACGAGGATACGCCCTGCCTCATCCTCCACTCTTCTGGTAGGTCTCAACTCAGATCCAGCCGGGGTGGGAGGTCTGCTTGCTAATGGTACTCACCTTGCCCTTAGGATCCACCGCGTTCCCAAAGCCTATCACGTTCCCCCACCGCAACTTGTCCAGATGGGGGTTCTTGTCTTGTGAGTTTGCCGAGTGTATACATACACACTTTCTGATTACCACCCTTGGGACAGTCTATGGCGATTATGATCTATGCGGGCGTCGTGTCTCTACGCACAGCTTACCCATCTTTCGTAAGTAGTAAACACCCCACCCCCCGATCTGCGCTGAGAGGGGATTCAACCGCTGTGACATCGTGCAGATGTCATGGGTGCGCTGATAATGGCGTGGCCGGTATGACACAACACCACGTTGCCCGATAGCATGATGCTCATCCGTTGCGCGTGTACAGCTGTGTACCGGAGCAGTCATGGCTCTGTTCCGACCCTCATCCCCGCCAGTGATCTCTACTCCGGACACCGTCTGGAACGCCATCAACGCCTCACAGTCCGAAATGGCAGTATGCGTCCCCGCTATGATCGAGGCGCGTCATCTTCCCTGTCCTTGCACTACTTGTCCTGAGCGACATCTATTCTCGTCCTG